TCCTCATCATTGTCGAGGCCATCCTTAAATCGGACCCTCTCCCGGAACCGTTTCGAGCCGACGAAAACCTTATTTTGCGGTGATTCTACCTCCTTCACCCGTTTTTTGTGGATTTTTCACTCTTTTGGAGCTTTCTCGTGGTTCATTGCTCGCTTCTCTTACTCTTGGAGCCGAGATCACCGTTTTACAAGGTATTTCACTTAGACCAACTCGAGCCATTTGTTTTTGAATTGGGCGTGATTTTATTTATTCGAGTGATTTATACTAAGTTTGGGGAGGTGTATCGGGGGTTCGTGAGCTTACATGGGCAATTTGATAATTTTGGTGTTTGTATTTCAATTTTGGAGGCTCGTTGGGAGTTATTATTGACTATTTTGGGGAATGCAGTGCACATTGGCGTTTTGAGTTGAAATTTGTTATATCACGAGTTTGTTATGCTTGTGGATGTGCATTGATTCAAGAGGGGTAGTTTTTTTTTAGCTTTGTTGATTAATCGGGGGGAGATGGGGTGTGTTGGTGTATTGGTTCAAAATTTATTATCTGGAGGCGGTTGGAGGCTAGTATTGCCACTTATACATCTTTGTGGACTCGACTTTGGCGTGACGGATCGTTTTGTATTGTTATATCTTATGAGATCTTTCGGTCTCTACGTGCGGATCCGTTTTGTCGTTCTTATATTCCTTTGAGGCTCGAGCCGCGCGTGGAACATTATTTTGTCACTTCCTTATTCATTGGAGCTCAAGGCGATTATCGACGATTTGATTTGTCATTCCAGTTATATTTGGGACGTGCGACAAACCAAGTTTGTATTTTCTAACCTTCTCTTATTTTGTTTGTTTTTCTTATTTTTCTTGCTTTCGTGTTTTGTTCCTTTCATTCCTTTGACTCGTTTCCATTGTATGACTATGTCCGTTCATTGTCTTTTTTCTTTCACTTGTTCGGGTACGCAATAATGGCATTGCGTTGTTTTAAGTGTAGGGAAGTTTTTGGAAATCTTGCATGCTTATGTGGTGATCGATCTAGTTTGTAGGTTTATTTCTCTTAGTTTTGTGTTAAACGGGCCGGTTTTTGTTTTAGCTCTTATTTGATTGTGTCGATTCTCCCTCATGAAACTCCATGTTTGTTCAAGTCAAAATAGCTAAGTGGTTTAAGCATGTTAAGTGGTTTCATTTTTAATTTTTTTGCCTTATGTGTTTGATGAATTGGACGATTTCCTAATATTAAATGAGGATTTGTTGGAATTGGAATCCGCATTTGAGTTCACGAAATTGTTTTGTCTCTTGTTTGTTCTCGAGTGAATCATGTGTAGAATGACTTGGGACTCATTTTGTTTTGTATGAATTCATTTTGTGGGGATTGTGTTTTCGAATTTGAGTTTGATTTTTTGAATAACCGGAGGAAGAAGAGAGTTTTATTTCGCATGATCATTAATTTTGGACCGTTCGATATTTCTTCTCGAACTACTTGTTGTTTTGTTTTCTTAAGGACAAGCAAACACTTAAGTGTGGAGGAGTTGTTTTGTATGATTTTATTGTTATTTTGTGTGTTTTTATCTAATGCAAGTCCCATATCTCATATCACGATGTGTTTTATTTGTGATCATTTTATTGTATTTTAGGGTTTTCTCGGTCCATTTATTCATTTATACTCGTTTTTGTGTTTTTCGTATCGTTTTAGTATCTTGTGCTTTTTATTCCTCTTTTTATCTTTTATTTAGTAGAAATTTGCATTCCGGAGAGTCGCCAAAAAATGACCGGACTGGCCGAAAAATCACCGAAAAAGTGCCCGAAGAACTCCCGGTCAATTGCCTCGGAAAAAATCTCGAGACATCGCTCCCAGCGTCCAAAGGGACCGCACATGCCTCCCACGTGCCAACGACGTTCAACAACTTGCGCCCGCGGACGCAGCTCGATCAGCTTGCGAGTTCAGCCATTCGCGCCCAGTGTCGCCTGCCATCCGCGCCTACGAACAAAGACTCGCCTGCCTCCCGAGTCCTCCAGCGCCCGCGAGTACCGCCTGCCACCTCTCGAAAACTTTTTTTTTCTTATCGCGAGTGTGTTTTCGAGCCACGTCAGCGCTCGCGAGTGCCTGCCAGCCCGCGAATAGAGACTCACCCAGCTCGCAAGTCTCCGGCGCCTCACCTCCTAGCTTCCTGCCGACTCGCGCTCGTGGAATGCAGTCCGCTCAGCCCGCGAGTCCAGCACCTGCTAGCTACCAGCTCGCACCCGCGAAGTCCATTTCGCCCGGCTCGCGAGTTCCCGCGCCCCAGCACCTATGCACATGAAATACTCGCGACTTGGGCCAAAATCCATGTTTTGCTCGCGAAATCCATGTGTTCTCGCGAGTGTTTCAATAAATGTGCATGTTTTTGGCGTGTGTTTTAGGTGTAGGTATAAATATGTTTCTTCTTTTGTATTTTTTGAATCCATCCTTCATTTTTCAATTTTCTCTTTTGGGAACTTTTCTCTCTTTATATTATGCTTTGGTTTGGAGGTCCAAGACTTGATATTTCTGACGACTGTTCCACAAAATTCTGGCGACCTTATTTTTATTAATGATTCGATATTTACGCGTTATTTTCGCCCGAGCATGCAATAGGAGGTTAAGTACCTCGATTAGGGCTTATTACTTCGAGTTTGTTTTCCTTCTTTCTTATGATGTCGATCAAAGTGAAGTTGGTGCCTTGGCCGGAATATTGTGTTGATGCTCGATTCTTGGTCTTTTGTTTATTTTTCTTGCGTGCTTGAGTGTTAGGAGATAAATTAGTGTCTATCTTGTTTAAAGGTCTCGACTTTGTTCAAAGCGTAATAATTTAGTAAAGAAGATTCGGTTTATCTACCTAGGATCTCGTTGCTTGCATATTTCTCTTCGTTTATTTTCATTTTCATAAAGTCCCGGGGACTCCAGATAACCAAAGTTCATGTCTTTACTTAAAAGCTTGCATCTTTAATTCATTGCTCTCGATTATTAGTTGCAATTAGTTAAAATCATCCCCCGAACTCATTTATTAGGATGTTTAGGCCTTTAATTGCTCTTTATGTGATTTTGGACAACTACTTAGCAAGCGAAGCTATAAATCGCCTTCCTTGAGAGACGACCCAAGGTTCGAATTACTTGGTTACCAATTATTCTCGCTCTAAACTACTCAATAGGCCGCGACCTCGTCTGTGTCGCGCCCAACTGCTTTACCTCTCTCGATGACCTCTATTAGGTCACGATCAGACTAGCTTTTCCCGCCCAAATGCTGGTAAACAGACTTGCGATTTCGTGGGTTTGGCTCGGGACAACTTTCGCCAGTTTGCTCGGTCAATGCACGGTCGGCGTCTTTCTCCCGGCAATTATGGGTTTCTCATTTCGGGGATTGCGCTGTTGTCTTGGACCGGGTTGGTCCCTTTCTTTTTCCTCCGACTTCTTTTTGAGGCATTTTCAGCAGGGTGTTTGTCGGGTTCTCCGTTGCGGCAGCGATAGCCCCTCCAGCCATGTGGCTCGCTAGCGCTTTGGCGAAGGTACTCTCTAGAACCTTGACGATGTTCGGATGTTGCATAACCGCCACGAAAGTAGGGATTTGTGCAGCAGGAGCTGATTGCTCCGGTTGGCGTCGGCGCGACATCTCTTCGCCATTGCGACAACGCGTTTGACCTTCGGACTGGTGTGTCGACTCTCCTTGACAGGATGAAGTGATTTTCAGTAGATTTATTTAGGAAATATGTAAGAAAAAGGATAGAATCAGATGTGGTATTCCATAGAGTCGAAAATTGATACCAAATTACTTATGGTGCCCTCCTTCTAGCGTCAAACTGTTGACGATCGGAATCGGCCAATGGTTAGTACAAGATTTAAGAATGGTTAAAGTGAGTAAATGAAAGATTTAAGAAAGGAATAAGCTTTTATTGCTTTAATTACGAGGTCGGCCTCTTAAGTCTAGGCGACGTTTTGCTTACACTTGGAATTAATCATAGTATTTATTATAAAGTAATTGCAGAGAGAGAGAAAAAGTTGGCAGAATGATCAACCACCCCTAATAAATGAGGGGCCTTCCCTATTTATAGTAGCACAAATCCGGCACTTCGTACAGTAACTAAGAGTGACAGGTCGCCGCCGTCTGACGAGCATTTAATGAAGTCTGGGTTGATCCAATGATTACTTGTCATGCATTAAATGCACACATGTGAGACATTTAATGCTGACAACCCGCCCTACAAACCTAAGCACACTAGGGTTGCAGACTAGGGTGACGCGTCCCATCAGCAATCATCACTTGACAAATGACATTATTTTATGATTTCCTTGTCTTACATGCTGCCAGGGGCCGGCCTCGTCGAATCTTCAGGCCGTACTTTCTCCACTTGTCAATGCCTTCTAATCTCTGGGGTCTCCTCTCTTCGTAATGCACTTATGGAGGTCGACCTCGTTCCTCTTGCTCCGAGGTGCCGACCTTAGAAGTTGTTCTACACAATATTCCCAACTTCTTTGCTTTTCTTCGAGTTTGGACTTCTTTTTATTCGAAAGCCGACCTGGTCCCTGGGTCGTCCGGATTACTGTTCCTGGCTTGTGGGTCTCTCGCGGTTCAAATTGGATATTCACACATATAAAAACATCAAATACGAGTTGTGTATAAAATTGATCATTGGTGCAAGTGATGGCAGCAGTAATGAATGAAACAAAAGTGCCCACTTTTATATATTTTTCCTACAATTTCGCATTCATTGTTTAAAATCGGTGTATTATATGATATAAAAGCTGGAAGTGAAAAAAAGGGCATCAAACTTGGAAAGGTATTGGCAAGAATGATACAAATATATATTATGCTGGTACAAATATGTCAAAATAAATTGCCAGTTTTCATCTTTCAGTGGCTTAAATCTAGAACCTTAAATTTCAATGGTCTTTAAAAGTAGTAAACCAATTTTCAGGTATAATTGCACAATAAAATACAGTCTTAAAGGACAAAAAATCAAAATATCATATCTTCTGATGGTCTACAAAACACAAGCTTTGTTCTATAAAAAGCTCTCGATGTCTATTTCAACAAAGGAGCACGGATCTGGAATGAGAAACTCGTGCAACACCTGAAAACCAGTAACAAGAACAGTCCTCGAGTAAATTGAAGAAAATCAACTATAAATTCAATAATACCTTATTACTAATAAGATTCTTGTTAAGGCCAAATGAATGAAGAAATGGCCGTTTTTTCAATCCTATTCATTATTCCTTCGGTAAAGGGGTAAAACGTAAAAATACCTGAGGATTTATCATATGTTTTATAGACCATATTAGGAGAACCATACTTGATAGTATACATATACATATATACCTGCGGATGCACAATTCCAAAAGTGCCGATTTGCTTTCCTTTGTAAATGATACTTGCTTGTCTACCTGGAAGAAACTCAGGCTCCTGCAAAAAAGACTCGAATATCAGGTGACTGGCCATTAGAGTGGTTAACATACAACTAATAATTTCTTCTTTTACTAACTAAAAAAAAAAAAAGAAAGAAAAAAAAGGTCACATTTGAAAGTTGAATGTAGTAGCCGGTATCATCCCCAGGTGATACAAAGGGAGTTCCCGTGACTTCCATGATTCTGTCCACCAAACCGTGTATCAACTGAATAAAAAAATTTGACGATAAATTAGTTGCCGGTACATGAAAATGGATCCATTATCAAATATGCTTAGGAGTCGGCATAGAAAAAGCAAACAGAAAAGGAAAGACAGTAAGAAAACTTTTCTATGATAATCATAATGGCAAAAAAAGGGGTAGGTTCCATACTTCAAATCCTGAGGTGGCTCCACAGTATAACGCAGCCAGATGTCGGCGGTTGGAAGCACCGACATCTTTTGTCTCGTCCAATAGCACCACATCGCCCACTTCAAATATCTAAAGTATAAGCAAAGAATATAATGCAGTTACAAAGTTGAAAAATCCAAAATCTGTAGATAAAGAAATAGTAAAGAACATTGTGGTACATTGGCCCTTGCAGATATAACTGAGAAACAAATTACAGTTTCTTGCATCATTTTTCGAATGAAAAACTTGTTCGATTGCAACAGAAGAATTAGTTATCAATTGGGCTTCAAGTTATTAGAAAATGAACCAGGTAAATGTGGTCCTTCTGCGTAATTTATGATGATTTTAATAACATCTGATAATAAATGTTATTCATCTGATGAGACAGATTAGGAAGTGAGATGTATATGGTAAATGCATATAGATGCTAGATATTCGAATATTTCTGCTTCTGTACTGAAAGAATTTCTATATCCAATAGAGAAATGCAAGTAACACCATGAAAAAGAACATACTCAAGGAATATCCCATTACCTTTATTGGTTTTGGATGGTCTTTGTTTTGACTAACAGTTTTTAGTATTCCAGGCATAAGGCTGGTTCGGACAACCTGTCAAAATTCAAGAACAAACATAACGAACAATGGAGAGACGTGGAGAATATTTTAGAGATAAATATTGTAAACATACAAATTAAAGAGTAAAGTTATAGCTCCGTGGTGCTCTCTTAGAAGCAAGACAAATAAGGAGGGCCAATCACAAAAATCTTCAGTATAAAACCACTCCAATGTAATGTCGCAAACTAAATAAAAATTAGACAAGAAAGAAATCTCTATGAAAATTCTAGACTTAACAAATGTGGCAGAAAGGAGTAGTTGCAGTGTCCGAAAGCAAACCTCAAAATCAGCAGAACGGGGATTTCCGTTTATTGCTGCCGTTGACTTGTCATCTTTTCTGTTGAGCATGGTGAAATTTTCTTTGTACGAGCATAATATCCACGTTAGCACCTCTGTGTAACCAACCATCGCAATCTAAAAGAAATAAACCAGATTAATAATAATAATAATAATAATAATAATAATAATAATAATAATAATAATAATAATAATAATAATAATAATAATAATAATAATAATAAGTTGAAGCAGATTAAGCAAGCCAGCTATTGACCAAAGAATTTATAAAAATAGGTTTGTTAGTGTATATTATGTAAATACAAAATAGTCTATTAGGAAAGGATATATATGTTCACTTTAATCACGGGATCAGATTTGGATTTGAATAGGATGATTATTCCCTAATTGTATATATAAATAAGGCTCCTTGTAGCATTGACATGATTGAGATGAATACAGATCAGTTTCACAACAAGGTTCAACTATTGATGAAAAAGCTTTTAAATTAGATCCCATCCAATATTATATTGACGGGCAAAGGGTCACAGATATGGACTTCGATAAATAGGTTAAACAAGAGTGATCATTTAATAACTGTGCTCAGGAACAGGTGAGCGGGGAAAAACAAAAATCAGTGCAAAAAATGAGTGATGGATATAAAGTGGTCATGTCCTACCTCCGCGCGAATAAGATCACTAAACTGATTCAATGACTGTGGCTTCAAGGATGGAAGTTTTATCTTCTGAATTTCGTTGTATCCATAAGCAATTGCGACATCCTATATAAAGTGGAAGAAAGACAAATATTATTGTACATTCAACAAGCAAGTGAAAAATGATATTCGATGAGGGAAAAAAACAATACCTCAGCCACATCACAAGGGTGAAGAATGTCACTCCTTGTAGGAGGAACTGATATGGTGAAGCTGATTTCATTCTTTTGTGATACAGAGTGCTCCGCAAATAACTGCATTTTGTTCAGCAAGCTAGACACCTGACATTTATTACATGAATAAAAAGTTCTCAGTATTTTAATTTGTTGAGATTTCTTGTACCATGCAAGAGACCAAGTGCACAGATTTTTTTGCTCTGCTTTATGGGCACAAAAATCAATGAAACAAATTAATCAAGAAAAGGGAATTATAACAATGCTACAATCATAGCCAAAAAATTACTATTCATGCATTCCCATAGGTTGATACCTCATGGACTGGCAAGGAGACTCCAACTAAACTGGTAACATATGATAAGGGCACATCCATCTGATAAAGTGAAAGGTCAGGGTAAATGTATGATTTTCCATCTGGGTATATAACTTCGACTGGCTCGACCTCAAATTTCCTTTCACAGTAGACCGAAAACATTGCTACCTGAAAAACAAGTATGTTTTATTGTTATAATAAAACTGAGGAAAAGAGGGGTTTACATGATAGACATCATACATGGTTGCGAATTAGTGAAGATCTAATCTATCAATTACCATTGTGTTCAGAACAATATTTGCTTTTGTCAAATCCGTGGCTGTGCATTCAATGAACACGTTCTTTGTCTTCAGTGAAATGGCAGAATGTGTACCATTAATAATTGGAGGCAAAGATAGAATTGTTCTGTAGAAAGATTTGTGGTATCAGTCTATCAGAAAGGAACATTATCAACAATAGCAGTAAGTTACAATTGCAATAACAAGTAATACAGAATACATTTTGGAACAAGAAAGAACATCTCGTATACAAATCTTAGGCGATTAAAAACTATAAGCAAAGGCCACAGTGGGGACACGAAGAAAACATTAGCTTGATGAAAAAACAAAATTACCTTTTACTATCATATATTACTGGGAAAACAGGTGAATTCTCAATAATATGCAAGAATTTCTTCAGCTTCAGATCTGACTGAGGTAGATGCACAATCGGAAAATAAAAAGTGAGATTCATTATAGTGTCAGCAGAGTGCGATCAGACGCTGATACATTGATGAAAATAAGAATAAAGGCCCATGTTGTTATTACCAATAAGAAATTTGATGTCATTAGGTATAGGAAGTATAAGCAACGAAGAACTCACTTTGTAAAATTCCATCAGCTCATCACCTCTAAAGCTCTTTGTCTGAACAATACCAGAATGAAATACTTAAATAATTATATATTGAGATGAAGAATAAAATGTTAAGCAGCATAACAGATATACAATAATAAACAGAAACATTGAAATGATATGGGAAGGAAAATTTTCATGTAAAATGCATCAGGTTAAGAGAAAACGATGGTTAAGATGATTGATTATATAATTACTCGTGTCATATTTCCAAGTGTTTCATTATATATATTTATAGATACATAAAAACATGACATTCAACAATGATATTGTCAATAAATAACTAGCATAAATATATTATTAGTTTAAGAGTGTCAATAACAAACTGCTCATTCCACAAGTGAGATGGGAAAATTGGCAGACGTGATCCTCAATTTTTATACACATATAATGTCATGCTGATGCATATATAATTGTACATCTTTAAGTACATCACTAAAAGAAAATTAAAGAAATACAACTTAAAAGATTCGGTGATTACCTGTTTCAGTGGGACGAAGTTTATTTCTTGGGGTGGCAAAGCCTGAAATTTACACATGTTCAATTCATCAAATTGCAATCAAAGGCATGCCTGGGTATCTAAGGGATTACACTACTCGGAAGCAATAAAATACTGAACTCCACGTGCAACTGTGAAGATCGAGGATCAAACCAGTAGGCCACATATAAAACATTATTGAAATGATAGAAACAAAAAGAACATGGGCCATAACAAGTTCTTATAGCATCCTCATTTTTTATATTAAAATAAAAACAAAAAGGACAGAGATTCTACATTGAAATTCCTCACAAGTTCCTCATCAATCTTGCAGAAATATCAGCAAGATCCTAAGCAAAATACCTCAACTTGAATGATAAACAATTTACACAACCCAGACGAATTCACAAGTTGACAGGTGAGTCAGCATACCTCATATGTGAATGGACCTTCTATTGTATCCAAATCATGCGTGCCAATAGCAACAAGAGTTCTTTTCCTGCAGAAATACAAGAAAAAAAAAATTAAGAGGCAAATATCAATAACTCAAAGCCAGAAAAAAAAGAAACAACATGTTTTAAGCAGAAGAGGTTTCTGATATAGTATCTAGAGTATCTCTTAGCTGTGACGATAACTTTAACAAGACAAGCATGCAAAACATCAAACTACAATAATCCTTACATCACTACAACAATACACATTTTCTCAGGTTGTTAAGAGTCTGTTTAGATCAAAATAATAGCCGATAATGTACCTCAAAAACAAAAAGAAAAAAAAAAGTCCACTGAGGACCATGAATATCCATGGTTCCACAACCAAAATGTTAGTATGAGTACTTTCAGTTTACAAGTGCTAGATGAAAATAAAAACTAACATCAACGATACCATAAAGCTAGATTGATCGCTACATGCACGAAAAAGGAACAGTTATGTTGCTCCACTATCTACCAACAGATATATATTAACACTCCCTACACGAAACTCTAAGAAAAATGCTGTCTTGCAGGTTGAGCAGCGATCTGTAAGCTGTACCTGCAGATATTCTGATGAAGCCGATCTTGGAGATCAATAAAGCTATCGTATCGAGCTTTGTCAAATGAAACGCCTCTTAGAACAGCACATACAACAAATGGCCGAATCCTTGAGGTCTGCATGAGAACATCAGATAAATGATGAAATCAGCATCATAGAATTGAGAGAAAAGAAGTTCCTTAAGAAGAACACTGTAAAAGGACATCACATAAATGACAGGCAAAAGGAATCATATCATGTAAATGACACCAAATTTTTTTTCCTTCAGATAAGTACCTCTGATTTGACATGCATTTTGAGCATAGATCCTTTGCTAATGGACGCCAAAGTATATGTTGGTATTGGGTCAAGCCCATTAAATATGCGAAGAGCTTGAGCCAAGCCCTCAAGACAAAGCAAATCGTATCTGCCATGATATCAAAATGCAGAAAAGAAAATTTTGTTCAGCCCATATCCAGAAATACTTCAAAATCTCCAAATTTCTAAAAGTGCATTCTATGAAATGCTAGCAGCATATTCCATTTTTTACAAATAATTTAATCACAGACATGGCTTTCGTAAGTGACATAGTGAAGTGATACATTCTTGCAATACCTATTGGCTGGAACTTCAATTTTGTAAATTACTTCCTCATCCTCGGATGGTTTTTCTTCTTCCAAATGTTTCTCTTTCCGTAAAATTGCCTTCTCAGTCGTCTGATCCCACATATTCAAACCAAAATATTCTCAATACCAATTCCAAAGAGTAATGTCCAAGAGACAACAAATTATAACCGACAACGATGACAGCAACTTTGCAGCTTCAGAATGTAAATTACTCTTGTCTAAACAATGTTTTCAGACAATTTCTCAAACTCAAACAATCCGAACCAAACGATTCATCATAAAATGTAGATAATATCAAAATCAAAGCCACGCACTTCGCCCAGCAACACGCAGAACATAAAATTCAATATCCATAAAACTGAATTCAGGATATACACAAAACAATGCAGCTAATCAAGACTATGTTTTTTTCCCCCAAAACTCAAAACCCTAAATACAACCACGCAAATCCCACGTACCACATCATCAAGCTCAATGCCGAATTTGAAGCACAAATCTTCAAATTCCTCTTCAGCTGCAATCCATCAAAACAGAAAACAAGAACATGATAAAAATCAAACTTACGAGTGAAATTACGACATTGTACCGAGAGACCTGAGATAGTATATCTTACTGTAAGTACGGCCGAGGGCTTCGAAGAGGCGGTCTCTGCCTACGCTAACGGTGGGCATGGTGTGGTGTTTTGCGGCGGCGATGGTAGTCTGATCTCCAAGACGCTGTCTTCTAGTAAATTTATGGGCTTTAACTGAAGTGGGCCAACAGGGCTTAAATAGCAGGCCTTAAGAGCTATTTATCCATTTAGTTTTTGAGAAGCTCGGCCCAACTTAACTGGGAAATGGGCGAAACACATAAATATCAATGAGGAATTTTTGTAATTACTAAACTACCCCCGAACAGAAACAAATAGTGCGTCAGAGAGCATCTAATTTTTTATTTCACAGCTTACCTCATTTGGTTCCTCTAAAAACCTTAAATGATTGCAATTTGAACAAAAACTGATAATATACATGTATCTTAGTTGTAATTTTACTATTTTAGCCTTCTATTATTTGTAATAAGGATAAGTTGTCATTTGTGTTTGACAACTTTAGTTGTAGGAGGTTTAGTATAAATAGGGTGTTGTGTACAACAACAAACCCAAATTCTCATTTTACACATTTTCAGATCGTTCCATATTCTCTCAATAATATTCCTCTCTCTTTCGTTTGTTCTTCATCTATGTTTTTCATTTTCAATGATTTGAACTGTGTATTATGAGTTTATTATGGTATCATTCGCCAAAGATCCTCACGTTTCATCGCTTCCGCACACATATATTTTCTGATTTTGATCTACTTTTTCTGTCTACTGCTCTCGATAGCTATCTGACACCCTAAATCGCTCGATCGCTCTCTGATATTCTCTGATTTCAATCAAATGGCTGACAATCCCTCTGATGGTCCATCATCTGCGTTCTATCTTCACGCCAGCGACAACCCGGGCGCACTAATCGTTGCAGATCCATTTTTCGGCGACAACTATGTCTCCTGGAATCGGTCAGTCACCATGGCACTCAGCGTGAAGAATAAGGTCGGCTTCATCGACGGCACTATCCCGTTCCATCTCCTACTGGTAACCCCTCTCTATACCTTGCTTGGAACAGAGCGAACAATTTGTTCTCTCTTGGCTGTTGAACTCTATATCTAAAGATATTCGTCAATTGTTTATGTTTTTTTACTAATTCTAAGGATGTCTGGGATGAAATCCGTACTCGTTATGCAATGTCTAGCGGTCCTAGGGTTTTTCAGTTGAAAAAATCATTGAGTACCATTAGTCAAGGGTCATTGTCTATCACCCAATATTATAATCTATTCAAATCACTGTGGGATGAATATGTGACATATAGGCCTCTATTCAAATGTACTTATGGTGCTTTTGTGCATTGTATTTGTCATTTGTTTGAGGCACTGGCAGTAGCACAACAACAGGACTCTGTTATGAAATTTTTAGTTGGCCTTCATGACTCTTACTCATCACTGAGAAGCCACTTCTAGTTGTCCACACCCCTTCCCTCTTTATCTACTGTTTACTCTTTACTGTTACAGGAAAAAAGCCAAAGATCTCTTACAAATAATCCTCATACCACTGATTCTGTTGCTATGTTGGCTAAATCTCATCCCTCTTCCTCCAAAAACAGTAAGCCTCATTTCACAAAAGACAATAATACCAAACCTTCCAAAGACAAATATCCATACTTCAAAGACAAACCTAAATGCATCCATTGTGGCTATAATCTTCCTTCTGAAAGATGTTTTGAGGTCATTGGCTACCCACCTAATTGTGATGGTCCTAGGGGTCCTAGAATCCACCCTAATCACTCTGCTCATGCTGCCTTTGCTGATAACACACAAACTAGTACTAATGACACAACTGTCACAACTGATTCCACTACTAATAGTTTGTTTCATGAGTTTCTAGCATTCAAAAAGTCTCAGGAAAATAACACTCCTCATGGGAATTCTGTTGCTCCCATGGTTGCTACTGCATATCCTGAGGCAAAAGGTAAGTCTCCTGTTGTAAATATTTTTTCGGAGTAGAATCGAAAGATTCGAACACCGGGTCGTGTCTCTCGAGGAAGGTTAGTCGGAATATAATGCGCGTTTATTCAATCACACAAAAAAGAAATAAAATATCTAAACATTCTAAATCAAAAGATTGGTTTGAGTTTAATTATCAACTAATGCGGAAATTCAAATAAGCAATAAAAGTAGCGAGCTAAGACGAAGAACAAATAGGATTTAAGAAGATAGGGAGTCGGGGATATCCGTTTTGGTTCGAAAATGCAATAGATGGGCAAGAGATTGTTTAGCTAAGTGATTCGAGTAACCCACACGTTCAAGCACTCATTCTCAATAACTTTTCGTAACAAGAGAATGAACTAGAACAGTAGATTATCAATTCATTTAACTTCTAGGCAATACAGTTATGAACAAGCCTAGTTCATACGAGTCTAATTCGACCGACTCCTCCCCTTTCAGTTCTAAGAGTCGATTGAGTAAACTAGAGGGTTGTTAGTCGACTAATCAAATAGAATCTCCAATATTGAACTCGAATAAATCAAATTCAATTGAAGACAATTGTATGCCGAAGTGTCACCCTTCGACAATTCTCAATATTCAAGAACGATAATTAAAAATCCCTTTTAAAAATTCAACTCATACAAAATAAACATTCTCAAGCCCGACAATCACAAACGATTCCAAAGCATCAATCCCCTATTCTCTAGCATATGAATTTAGCTACGCATAATCGAATCAACAATCATAATCATCACAATCGGAGAATCCATACTCATCAAGTAAATAAAAAGAAAATCTTACGATTGATGAAAGTCGAGAGTAAAATCTGATAGACAAGCTTGAATCCAAAATAAATAGCGAAATTCGAGATCGAAACGTGTTCTCCGTCCGAAATTATTAAAAGAAAAATGAAAGATGAGTTCTTGGAAAGCTACTGAACGAAAAATCTTAAAACCTAGGCTTCAAAAACTGTCCCTGAACGAAGCAAAATCTGAGATTATAAATCTGCTTTTCGCGCATGTCGCGGCCGCGGAGGGGCTCGCTGGCCGCGGT